TCAGAATTCAACTGACTTTAAAGGGGCAGATGGCATTAATAAAGTTGTTGTCCATTGGTGTGAATCTATTATTGTTAGTGTTGTAGTTATCTTTATAGTTATCGTTCTTGGTGTGAACATACTTTGTCTCAGTGTTTGTTTCTTTTACCCTTCTGCACTTTTCCATTCCTTCTCTTTCTTTACCCTTCCTTTAGGATTGCTGCAGAACAAAGTAGTAGGTTGGCAAAATATAGGAGTCTGCGATAAATGCCTGAATGTTTTGCAAAAAGAAAGGCCAGTCTTCAGGCTGAAGTAAGGCTTGCTGTTGCCACCTGTGCATCCCATAATATGGCATCAACATTTCCATGACAACACCTACTGCATGGCTATGTTGGTGTGTTTGTTGAGTGAAGCTCACAACTTCCTTTGAAACATAATGCCATTTGTGACTGTCAAGCCATATTTTTCATGTCTTGCTTTTTATTGATCAGAGTGTTGTGATCACTTGTTTTTGTTGGCTTGTGTTTCACTTCATTAGTGTGTGCAGTGACAGACTGCTGAACTACAGTTTAGGCCCTATGTGATAAATTGCTTGATCTGAGATTTTATATTTATTTTGCCCCAAAGTCTTTTTGTCGCTGTGATAGTTTCTCAGTTGTGGAGTTGCCTGATTAAAGTTCTGCTTGAACAACTACTCTATAAATTCCAAGCAGCAAGTTCACTAAAATATTACTTTCAGTTAGGGCTGCACGATTAATCGCATGCGATATTTAACGCGCATCTTATCAGTAAAGCCGGTTCTGTAATCAGCGGTAAATCTCCATCACCTGCGTGCTTTCACATTGGGCAGCATTAACTACACAGAGCCGTTGTTCACTGACGAGCTGCGCTAAACCACGTTCATATTCGCGCGATTTTTTGCGCAACTCATCAGTGAACAACGGCTCTGTGTGGTTAATGCTGCTCAATGTGAAAGCACGCAGGTGATGGAGATTTACCGCTGATTACAGAACCGGCTTTCTGACAAGATGCGCGTTAAATATCGCATGCGATTAATCGTGCAGCCCTACTTTCAGTGCAAACGTGTTTCTGTAAAAATAAGGGGCATCATAGGGGTTCACAAATGGCAGTGCTATTTGCCTAGCACAAGTAACATTTGCAGCATTGCCTGTGTTTTTTTTTTTTTTTTTGCACATGTTCTTATCTGGTTTTATGTTACGTACAAACATTTCTTTATCATGCAAAAGTAACAATCCTTAATTAAATTTATAATAATTAATTTGCACTAACATATCACAGTTTGATTGGCTGTGCAGCCTTTAACATCAACAACCAAAATACAGGTACAAATTTCCTGTTGTTTTTTACAAACAAACAAAAAACTCGGTGACCCTTCAGAATAGGAAACACATATTCACTAACTATTAAGAGTTTTCCCTGAACAAACTCCTAAATTGCTGCTTATTAATAGTTAGTATGGTAGTTGTTGAGTTTAGGTATTGGGTGGATTAAGGGATCTAAATATGGTCATGCAGAATAAGGCATTAATGTGCTTTATAAGTACTAATAAACAGCCAATATGCTAGTAATAAGCAACTAGTTAATAGTGAGAACTGGTGCTTAAAATAGTGTTGCCAAAAATTCTTACCAGAATAACAACCTGTAAATTAAAAAAAAAACGACAGCCCTTTTTGGTGAATTAGCAAGGCTATAAATCAGTTTTGTAACACAGGTAGTAAAGAAAAAGCCACATAAAGAATAAAAGTTCATCACAAGTAGCCTTTCCCCAAGGTGAGGTAAATTCTAATGTATAGTAGGTGCACGGTGTCATACAGACAAAATATAAACATCTGATAGCAAAAACTACCAATAAACAATTATTTAAATGAAATCCAATCAAATGTGAAGTGCCACAGGGAATGTCAGTTTATGGTTTGTCAGTTCTTTTCTACTTCCAAAAATGGCACATTTAACAGTGTCTTGCTATAAAATGACATGAAATGTAAGTTAAGATCTATGACTTTTTTTTTCCTGTATAACAATTAATAGATGTTTACTGTAGCATTTTAACAGTCTTTTACAGTTAAAATTACGATAATTTCTTGGAGTGGAGATCGTAGTAATCTGCTGCATCCTTCTTAACCTTTAGTACTCATAACTGGCCTGCTAAAGAGGAATTGCTCTGTGCAAGCCGTGCCTGGTGTTTGCAATACTTGATTTGCATGTGTTTTCAAATCTCGCCGAAGCACTGCAGACATGATGCATGCTAATAAACAATGCTCAATGCATGCGATTTATTCTTGGTGAATTCCCCCTCCTAAAGTTGTTTTGAATACTGAGTGGTATTATTCTAACTAACTGCAGTGTGATTGATGACAAAAAGGTTTAATGTGGCATTGCAGAATATGAAGAACCAAAGTTTAAAACCTACGCTTTTGCTACCTTGCAAGCACTGCTATTTACTACAGGAAGTACAAATCTGGTTTTAACCAGTACTTGATGTTCTCTCTTTCAGACTTGAAGGAAAATGATGCTGGTAAAATCGTGAAGACCATGGATGTTTCATATTCATGTTTTTTCTTTATTTAAGAAATTTGGGAACAGAAGTATTGGTGGTGGTTTAAAAGAGAAACAAAGATGCAGATTCTGAATTTTTCTAAATTGACAATTAAGAAACATGCAGTTTTTTTCTGACAACAAATCACTGTCAGATGAATACGTTGAGGATATATGATGATTGTTGCTTGTACATTGTTGAATTGTTTGGTGGTGATGCAAATGAAAGTTGGTGATATTCTACTGCTGTTTTCTGTTTTTGTAAGGATGTTCATTTGATTGTTTTTGAATACAAATTCCTGTCCTCAGATTTTTGTAACGAGTAGTGAAGCATGTTCCTGTTTTATTTTTTTTTTTTCATTTTTATCATACATCAGAGCAAGAGGTTTTATTTGTCATCAAATGAACAGAAATGTGGAATCATTCTTCCAGTCATCACCACACAGATGGCTAACACAGTGTTTTTTTTTTTTTAATAAATAAAACAATAAAAACACATTTGCTCACTTTGTGTTGTTTAGTGGCCGATACTGGTTTTTAGAGAGCAGGGTGGCTGTAAGGGGATTATGTAGGAACCAGAACATGTTAAAGAAATGAAAGCTTTATGCTTTTTAAGCCATTTTGAAGGGCTTAACATGTATGTTGGACATTTGCTGGCTGCTCTGAACTTTTTTGGTGCAGATCATCCATTAAAATATTATTATAATTTTACTTTGTTCCATGACAGAATTCATTTCAATTTCGTATATTTTGTCACATTACTAGACTAGCACTGGACAAGTATAAGATTGTATTAGCTAGATAACAAACTGTGAGCAAACATAGAAGAAATTATACAGAGTAAAGTTTTAAAAGCCAACCTAAATGAACATTAAAACAATAAAATCGCCCCCTTTTCTCACCTGCTTAAAAACACATAAAATACTTAATGAGAGTAGAAATGCTGAAATTGTCCCATACAAAGAGTTCTGTCAACAGCAAAAGAGTACTTGATTGGTTCGCATTCGCTCTACATAATTTAATGTAGTAGATTTCACATTTAAGGGAATTACATTAATTGAAACTAAAGAAATCAAGATAAAAGAGAAACAATTTTGTGTAGATGGCAAATAATAGGCTATTAATTGGGTACATCGGATAATTCATGTTTTTCCTGTTTTTTTCAGTGTTTTTTATTTGTCATTAATCTTCATGTATCTTTTTCCGTCTTTGTAAAGTCTCACAATCAACTTATTCAGTTCTTCTGGTAATTATTTTCTATTTGGATCCATGATGCAGACATGCAGAAAAACACAGGCTGCGTCCAAAAGCTTAGGCTGCTGACTCGTTGCCTCGCTGCCTTATCAAACAATGACTTTAAAGGCAGCATTTGCGCAAGAAGGCACCTCATGAAACTGGTTTCGGACATGCTTCTGAGGCAGCGGTTTAATGATCTGCAACAAAATAGAGTGAGATTTGGTGATAAATAAGCTTATATTTAATTACTATAATTCTGATTTCTCACTAGAAGTAACATGGAAAAAGTTGGTCAGAAACAAACTGTCCACCAAACGCAACTTCAGATGTGATTTTTTTTTTATTTTTTAGCTGAACTGTCATGGAATGGAACACACAGGATTGTGGGATGTCAAAGGAATCGAAGGATACAACTATGCTGCCTTCAAAAATCGATCAGACGAAGACATCTTAGGAGACTTAGGAGAGCTGATGTTGGATTCGGACTTGCCTTGATGCCTTCCTACATTGGAATGCATCCTCCGAAGGCAGCATTTGTCAGTTTTCGGGCTCAGCCACAGTCTATAGATCCAAAATTTAGAAAGTTGTGGTGTTCAATCAAAGTTCATTTTTTTGGTTGGTTGCTTGCTATTTTAACACTATTTTCATGGTGTTCATGCATTGGAAATCACAGGTGTGCTCAATTTTGTCAGGCTTTCAAACTCGTGTGTCAGTGATAACAGGTGTTTACTTCACGCATTATTTCATCTTGTTTCTTTGAGGTTCTACTTTGGAGCTTGTATTTTCTATAGTCTTTCTAAAATGTTTGAAATTGTTCATGAGAGTAATACTCTACTTGTCAACTTAGAAATAATACAATTAGTGAGAGGTGACAGTTTTATTATTATTTTTTTTTTCAATATATTTTGGCAAGAGTTCTGATATCAGGTAGGATTTGTCATCAGTGTTTTTAAGGAGTGGCTTAGGGAATGATCAATTGTACCGCTATACAACCATATGTACTTGCTGAGGTGTGGATGTCAAATACATTTAAACAATTGTGTATTTTTAGGTAGGGACTCCTGATTTCTGTGGCAGACCTTCTGAACACTGGCTGTAAAAATACACAGTGCACAGAAAACTGTATGAAGGGTGAACTGAGATTTAATAATCCAGTGTGAAATGTGGCAAATGCAAGTATAAAGACTGTTCACAGTTTTTGTATTAAGTTCTCAGTAGTTACACAATGATTAAAAATTAAGTCTTTGTGGTTCTCTGTAACTTTGTTCCCTCTCAATGACATTCATATCCACATCTTGCTTGAAGGTGTCTCCATATATGCCAGACTGGCGTTTCACATAGTTTTGAGTTTCTGGTCTGTTGACAGAGAGAGAGAGAACACAAAGTGATTGAAATATCATGGGACACAGCATTATTACATTGTGTAGTTAAATCATAAGATTAATCAGCAGAAT